ATTGGGGTGAACGTTTATTTGATTTTTGCGCGTATGTGGGTGACAGGAAAACGTGTTTGCGTGTTCCCTCTTTAAGATAAGAGGAGCAGAAGTGATTGTGGAAGTCATTTTCCCCAAACTCGGGCATAAACTTGCGTCAAGGACACAAGATGAGGATATTTTGTGATGCAAGTTGTATCAAAGCTGTTACCATGGTGACACTTCATTATGGTCGCTTTGCATAAAAGAGTCAGGGTAAATTAGAAATCCAATTTGTATTGTTTGCTATGCTCGGAATAGATTACCAATGTATCAAGCCGCTGATGCTAATTCGGTTGGCAGTCTGCGTTGTTGTGATGAGAAAGGAGCGAAGTGAGGGGGCGGTATTTGTCGAATGTGTTGCGTTGTTTGTCATCATTTTTATCTTGCAGCCACTCCACAGGCTGCAGGCATATGGTTTATGATAATTATAGTCCGTATCAGGTCTCCCTCTCACCCCGAGTCATTCGCGCATCATCTGTGATTCACCGCACCCCTTTATTCACTTTCAGCATGCACTTCCAAATTCAATACGAGTTTCAACAGTCACATTAGCATACGGCCCAAAGGTGAGAGAAAAAAATCCAGTCTTTTCTTTCGTTTCCGACTCTTGTTTTGCCTCCAACTCCATCGAGACGAGGTGCCGGGAGAGGTGTTGTTGATGCACTGTAATGTTAATTTCATCCCCCGGTGGAATCCGATACAGCATTTTGAGGCCTCTCCACTTCAAGGACTCTGAGCCAGGAAACTGATGGAGAGAGAACAACTCCCATGCAGGAATTCTATGCTTAACCTTATTTACCGTCAACGTAGCGCCAGTCTGTATGAACAGGCGGTATTTCCGAATTTTTCAGCATGTTTGTTTGCTTTGTTATTTGTGCTCTTGTGGGATAGAATAAAACATGATCCTACACTGTATTTTGGTCAGTTCACCGTTCTATTGGGTAATGCACATGTCAGTTCCCATTGCAGGTTTAGTATTAGTTTTAGTTTTTCACACATATGGAGTGTTTGTTGAGTGCAACATTATAGCCAATGCCGAACAGCAACTGTAGAAATATTATATTTGCACAACGTATTATGATGCTGAGGTCTTCATCTGTAGTTTGTGATTTCCACTGATTGTGATACTGTGACTGAGAGCTGAATGTACCGGTAATCCGATGTTACCATACACACCGATGAGATATTTTTGTTGTTCATTGTTGATGAGGCGAGACTGGTCACAGAATCTGAATCACAAGTAAAGCTCGGATCAAGTACAGCCGTTGAATTGGATACTAATTTTAGATTTGAGATGAGACCCGCAACATGTGCATGGCTTTGGTAGAAGTAACATTGTAGTGGTAGTTCTACATGATGTGCTGCAAGCCACAACGGGTTGGGATTTGAATGGAACCACATGTGAAAACAATTGTAGAACTGTAGGTTGGGATTTGAATGGAACCACATGTGAAAACAATTCATCATTCCAGACATTAGCATGCACTTCAAGTTATTAAAACCAATTGGGACTGGATGTGGACTTTTCCAGATCACTTTCCAATACTTGCTGTACATTTCTTTTAGCTGGGCATTCCTCCTTTGGACCATTGCATTTCTTTGTAAGCAAAGTCATAAAATTCCGTTTCATCAGGAGAGTTGCTCTAATGCCAAAATCAACATTGAGGCCAAACTGGAAACAGTTGTTAAGTTGAGAGGAATCCATTGAGCCTTGGCAGCATCTTTCATGAAAAGCAGCATTGTTTCTTTTGACAGCAGCTCCGGTAAGCTTTCTCAATTGTTGGCCTCCATCGGTCCGTGTCACATCCTGTCCAAATTAATGGCTCTCGTTCTTGTGATTAATTTCCATTGTGATCTGACCCTCCACTTGGTTTTGTGCAGAATGATGAAGAAAAAAACAAGTTTGTGAAAATTCTGATCTGATGCAGAGCTGCTGAAGAAACGTTTTTTTTTTTTTTTTTAACAAATCACAAAAGAATGCAACAGCGTAGAGGGCATATTGACACCCCGTGTTCAAAAGCCAACTGTAGCATGCCAAGCGGCTGTCACTTTTGAAGAGTGCAGGTGCTCTAAAGCGTTGGAGGACTGACAGTGTGCTTGTTTGTCACTCCTTGCAGGTGCCCAGACAGATATAGCAACACTTGGCTAGGATACGAACGTCATGTACCAACCTGCTAACCTCAGCAGGGTGATATCGTGCCAGGGGAGTGCAACTCCACCTCTGTGTGAACTCTGTCACGTCGCCAAAAAGCTGTCCGTTGTCCACGCAGTAAGCTTTTTTGTTTTACATTGTTTGGGTATGTTTGTATTTAGTTGTTCACACAAGGCAAGAGGTAGGACAAAACAATGTCCCCATAGTGGATTTTCAATGTATTCTGACAAGAATCTGGTCAAAACAGTTTTTTTTTTGTTTCGTGTGAGTGAGTGCCACGACAATTTGAAAGGTGGGAGGGACATCACCATCAAAACGGTTGCGAAGCTGAGCTGGACCACCAGTGTGTGACCAATTTCTGGGTACCCTCCGTGCTTGATCAAATGCAAAGCTCACATTCATATTGAAATCAGACTTCATCTTGAGCGTCGGAGGGTGACTGGGGTCAAGAGCTTGTCACCGTGTGTTTTAGCAAAAAGGCCAATCGCATCAGTTTGACTGGAGAGCTACGACAAATGGTGAGAGCTTTACTATTCAGCTGTACTCTTTTAAAAAAAAATTATAACTAGCTAAAACGTGGATTTTCTTCATCTCAAGCTGATCGACATTCTTCGTGACAAACATTCAGATTTTGTTGAATGATGACAAATGGGCATAGGCAAGAAAGACGCTTCGGAAAGATTTACATTATTGTTAAATTAAACATTATGATGCCTCACTCTTGCTGGATGTATTGTTTAAAAAAAAAAAAAAAACGTCCAAATGAAAAAGTCGCTTTTTTGCCAACCTTGACAAGTGTTTGTCTGGCCCATTTACAGAGAGTCGATCTCAATCGTAGCTCACCTCCTTGCAGAGGACTTGCAAAGTGGCGAGCTACAAGGTTGAGATGGAGGCTGGTAAAAAAAAAAAAAGTAGTAACCGTGGTAATGAGAGGCTTAATCTGCTTCACAGCAGCACCCAAGCCACCCTCCCTACCCTCAACCAATGGAACACTGATTGCAATGTCAGAGAGGCCACTCTCAGCCCAAAATAACATTTGTTAATTTAAATTCATTTATTTCATGGGTTGCGTTATCTGAAGTTCCCTACAGGTTCGCAATTCCCCATTCTTATTCTCGCGGCATTTTCAAGGTTGCATGAATAAGGATTTTTGTTGTTACGGCCACCCGGTTTGTGCCTTATGATCTTACTAACAGGCCACATCAGAGATTTCGTCAGACCGTACAAATGGGACAGATGTTTGTATTTGATTTCTTGTCTTTAACAGAGAATCAATACCCAGAGAAATGCATGGGTCTGTGAAAAATACAGTGTGAATTCATCTGTAGACCATCATTAGAAGTTCAAGGTTCGAAAAATGGATGGATGGACTTCAGTGCAAAATTTTCCTGAGTATGAAAAACAGAAATGCACTGTTGCACACACTGCTCTTTCCCTTTGTTTAGCTCCAGACTAATACCGATCATAAGCATTGGGTATCAAGTCACCCTTTCAAATTCCACCCAATCTCCAAACCCTTTGATATCATCAGCTTGAGTCCGTGAGATCTCGCAGGCATACGCCGTCATTAGCATTTGCCAATCTGAGAGCCTGTCAAAGCCTATTAGATATGTCAGAGGACCTGAGAGTGTTGGAGAGGGGGAGGTACCTGGTGTCTGGTGTCAGACCTGTCAACTCAAACCAACCCCCCAGTTTGCTTACATGCCTAATAAAAGACTCGATGTACCTTCACATGACATAGAGACACACTTCAGGTGACACTTTAGATATGACTGACGACGGTCATAACACATGGAGCAAGGCACAAGTCTCAACACCAGGCAGTGAAGAGAAGTAAACCGAAACGGATAAGTTCCATTGTTGGCCTGTGCTGACTGTTTGATTTACCTGAGGGTCATCCTCACATTATTCCACTGGCCACTGGTGGCAATTATTTTAATTGTCTTATGATCCCCACACCTCTAAAAGATCCTATTTGTTTTCATCTTGTTGTAATTATTCTTGTGGTTATTATAGCAATGATAAGTGTGTATCTGGCAAGGATTTTTTAAACATCATTTCATTCCCGAGCCACCGAATTACACTTGACAATTCGTGTCTGGATCAGTGCTTTTTGTGCATGCAAATTAACCAACGCAAATAGTGCATCAGCAGCTTCACCAAGCAGAAGTATTTGCGCCATATCAGAATCGAGCTGACGCTACCATCCGACAAAAACTCAATGCAGCTCCGCCGACCTTTTATCTTTAACATAATGTTCCAGCCCTTGTAGTTTTGCTTTGAATGTGACAAATCCATGCCCCTATTAGATCAGCCGTGGGTGAGAAATTATGTGTTGGCACTGTCGTGGCAGTTTACTTTCACACTCTATGTATGTGCCGGCCCTCTCGATCATCAACTATTTCCGTACGAGCAATTACGATGTTATTTCCCCCTAACGTTTCCAATTTAAAGTCAATTTATTCAATTGATTGGTCATTTTTTAAGCTTGGGTTTGGCGGGGGGAGCCTTCTTACTTATTTAGCTACTTTACCACTATACACTTGCACTCAGCAAAAACAATGTGCTGAAAATAAACCGCCGACGGGAAGCCTGATGGCGTTCTTCACAGTCAGCCTTCATTCAGTGCATCCAAAATGCATAGATTCACTCTCGGTCACATTCATCTTGCGTTCCTATTGTTCGCATATTGTGTGGCGCGGTGAATGGATGTTGTTGATACTGCTGAATTCATATTCACCACCATGCTTGAGTAGCTAGTGGCTGTAATTAAAATGGGTGTTGAATTACATGTTGGATTGAAGCTCAGTAATTACTTGGACTGTTTAATTCGGTCTTTGAGGACGGCTCCGTGTTCGTATGACAAGACAAATGCAGCGGTAACTGAAATACTCCTCTCCCTCTGCCTTTGTTTGAAATATCCACAGCTCCATGTCGACGCCTGCTATTGAAACCAAGGGACCGCCACACATCGGGGACAGAACAAAAACATTTCGATGCGGTGCGTGACAGATATCGTTTTGACAGCCCTGACAACGCTTCTGAATTTGTGACTATGTAACCTGTCCTAACGATATTTTCTTTGCGAGGTTCTTAAAAGCCCGTGGCAGGCCGGCACTTTGTTAAAACGTGAGCAAAAAGGCCGCTGACAAGGCCTACCGGGAACAAAGAGGTTTGAAAAGATGTCCCAATGATCTCAAGTCTTCGGCGGTGCAACATTGTTCCACCAAGTTGAACGAAAGGGCACACTGGTA